GTATTGAACGCAGCTCAGTATCCGTCATCCAAATGAAGCTACACTGGCTAGCAGCCAAGAGGTACATCGCTAGCGCGAACTGGTGATAGCCTCCCCAGTGTCATTCATTAGTGGTAATGGACGAGCCCTTTAATATCAATATGCTTCCCTTTTGGCATTCAACTCGGAGGTAAATTGCTGCTTGTTTTTCTTAACTGAGAAGATGGGTGTCAGCCAAAATGCTTTGGATGAGCGCAGGATGTCGCACCACGACATGTCGTCAAGTTTTGCTTTAGTGCTAGTGGAACGGTACGAACAGATGCCTTAACGAATGGTCACTTAACCACCTGTTGCTCATACAGTGTGATATTGTAATAACCTACATTGTTTTTCCTGGTCGGGTAAGCAAGCACTTGCTAGTATACTAGTAAACCCTTTCCTGATTCGCTGATCTACCTGGTCCTAACTCGCACGATACTGCTTTTCACATACATTTTTACTTCTCTGTTCGAGAACTTAGAACAAAACTGGTCATCTGTCTGATTCGAAAAGGCAGGAGCGGCAGGTGGACTTCCACGGGTTGGCTTTCCAAATAAGTCTAGGTAATAAAAGGAGGAAGTAAATACAGTCAAACCTGTCTGGGGCGACGACTAAAGGTGACCGACAAAAGCGGTCATCTTGGAAAAGTGGTAGCCGTTTGCAGGTGCATGCAAAGGAAATTACTCATGAACAAAAGCACTAAGGATTGTTTTGGCAGGCCGCCATAAACAGGTGAGCGCCTTAGAGAGGTGGCCGCCACAACAGGGTCGACTGTATATCCGATGCAAAGCGTTCCAAGCACAAATGGCCGGTTGAATATGGAGATCCAGCACTCCAGCTTGCATATTTGACAACTGCCTCGTTAACCGCGACTAGATTAGCCGAAGTATATTTGCGGATGGCCGGATTGGGTGGGAGCCTGTGTCTGAGGATTCAATACTACTAAACAGCCCAGTGGGTGTCATCCAGCTTAGGCCAAATACTATGATAGCTCTTATGATGTGCACCTGAAAAGCAATAGGCTCTGTAAACAGACTTGGTAGGGTTATACCCTGTCGGTTATATCCGCATATTCAAAGGTCTTTCAGGAATCAACGGCAGCAAATAGGCGGCTTGTTTGCTACTAGGTACGCTGGAATAGGGACGACGAACTGCTGGATCGAGTACAAGGTACAACGAATAATACTTTAGCAGGGTAAAGAATCAATCGCTTACCCAGTTCCGTAAGCTAGGGGGGATAAACCAACCATAAGAAAAGAACTGCGTATTGTAGATTTAAGCGTCTAGCGAGCAAATCAACGGCTACCTAACAGTAGTGTGAAATGCAAAATTACAAGACAGCTTGGAGGCAGCTATATTTGGCGCACACATGAAAAAATGAATAACAAGTGCACATAAATGCGGTAAGTATACATGAGACGTGTGTGACAATATATGCCAGCTTATTAAGCAAGGTGATGGGGACGAAGGACGTAATCCAACCGCTATTTAAAATATCCAAGTTGGGTATTAAAAAGCTGCGATTGGGAGAGAGTCCAGGTTTGGTAACACAAACAGAGTCAGTGTATCTTTCACTTATCAGCCAGCCGTAATTTGTACGCTGTTTAATGCTGTTACGTTTGAGGTTAATGCAATGACTCATTGTGGGATAGTGGCGGCATAAGTATTTAGGGTCACACAATATTTGGATTATTATGTGCGGTTGCTGCGTGCCAATTTTTTTGACCGCACAAACTCCTGGCGTATTCAGCTTTTTGTTTTAGGACTGATGGTGTCTACCCCTGATGTCCCTATTAGCCCAGCGTTGTGGCTGCTCTAGCACTTGCAATTCGAGCCTCAACCAACATCCACAAGCTTAGCTGGCGTTTTCAACGTGAGCTCGCACGTTAGAATTGCACCTCATTTGGTCAGATTTTTCGAATGCTCATCAAAGCTGAAAATCTCGCTCTCACGAGATCGTTTGCTTATATAAGTAAAATTCATGGCCCTAGCACTGTGTCATGTGGCACTCCGCACTCCACAGCATGTTTGTCGACCAAGGATTAACTTACCCTTTCCTTCAACCGACAATGATGTAGCAAGTGAGCTCTCCAATTTAGTGGTTGGTCAACAACACCATGGCTCTGAAGTTAATGGAAGAGAATTCCATGGTCAAAACGGTCAAAGGCTTTCGAAAGGTCATGGTAAAGGACCTAGGATACTGCCTTGCCATCAAGTTCCACAGTTTAACTATCGTGTGCAAATAACAGGTTCGTCGTGCATGTTAGTTGTCAAAGTCATGTTGCTCCAAGGTTATCATAAGGTGGTTTTCCAACTAAGGCATCAGAACAGCCGCAATGATTGACTCTTTAATTTTAGAAATCACGGACAACAGCGTTAGCGCGTAGTTATTGGTTGGGTCCTTGCGGCAACGTTCGTAATGAATGGCATGATGAAAACCGGCAGTTCAGGAACCTCATGAAAAGCTATCGCTTTTGCCGTCATTTTAGGGCTAAATTTGTTGTGCATTTTCCAGGACGGCCCTTCAAATCGACACCTTGCAGTATGCACAGCACGCTAGATAGGCTGCGAGGGCTAACTGCTAAGCGGATGACGGTATCTGTCTCCTTTGCGGAGTTAAAGGTTACTTGAGAGAGCACGCTTCTCAGCACTACACTGAAAATCCTTGAGGCTTTACGCGTCTCAGAATAGTGGTTCAACCAGAGTACCGATTGCACCACATCTGGAAGCTTATTAGCCCGGTTCATCCAACAAATTGCCCAGTTTTGCCCCAGACATAGACTCGAGAACGTAAGTGCACACGAGATTGGACATATTTAGTTTCCGTTAAGCGAATATTGGTTTGGTTGCATTGGATGGCCACCTGGATTGTTTAGCGGGAACAGGAGGCGCTCGTGGAAGTTGCCGTGCATTGCCCGTGTTTGGGGAATAAGATGGGCTTACAGAGGTTAGTTCCGAGCTTTTAGCAAAACGACAGGCCGAGGTTTCCCGGCTCTGTACTGTCGGTTTTGTGACTGGTTAGTAAGGTACAGCCACCAGGAAGGAATTAAAAGCAGGCTTGACAAAGAAGACCTGCACATGTAAAAGACGGGGCTAGGTAGGTGGTGCAGCTGATGTGAAACGGTTAGCAATATAAAACTTGTTCTTGCTGAGCGAAACTCAGGTACTGGCTGCGATGCGAACCAGTAGGGAGAACTACGATACCACTTTTTCAGAAGTGAGCAGTTTGTCTGATCTGACGTTTATTGTAAAATGCCACCAGAGGCAAAGTAATAAGAGCCAGCGCATGGCAGCGTAAGGCTATCTGAGAAATCGAAAGTAAATCCGAGGCGCTGGCATTTAAGCAAATGGATAAGTTGAAGTTGCTAACAAAACTGAAAGTGAATGGTACAGGATACTGAAAGTCTACATGTTTAATATTTACTACGCGCTTCGAACTACGGACTGAGCTCAGAGGGGGTTCGTGGCAGAACAATTAAAACTTATAAGCTTCCACTAGCAAGACCTGAAGCACACCAGATTTGGTGTGAACCCCTCAGCTTAAAGAAGTAAACGGAGCATGGTGCTTACAGCATGGACATCGACAAATGGAATGATAAATAGGAGACTTACCGAAAATTCTGAGTAGTCTACCAGTGTATAGGAGCTCAGAAATGTTGTGGTATTCAGCCAAACGTGGCGAAGTTACCTCAATCTACTAGGGTAAAGCTTTTACATAGATTATGAAAAACCGTGGCCTTTATACCAAGTTCTTTCGGAACCAGTAAGTACAGTTTGACAAGGTGTAAAGGCCCGCCCAATGCGGCCATAATCCAACCACATTGGTAAACCGCAACTAGTGGGCGCGACCAGAGCAATATAGTTATAACTGGATACAATATGGAGCACATCCGAATAGCAACGTATGCAGGGTGAAGTACCCGGGGAACGCCTGACATATCCGCTAGCTGAAAGACAACAAACACAACTACGCAGTTAGTCACCTGATCCACTTGCAAATACAGTGGGCTGGAGCACGGGAAGGGAGAACACAGCGGACGACAAGCAGCGTGTGTTCGTAGAACGGAAGTGTGTCGTACAATACAGAAAACAGGTTTACGATGGAATGTACCATCGAAGAGATAAAAGGGATAAACAGTCTTTAGTTCACGACTGCTTGTCCGCGGTTCGGTTAGTGCTTGGGGCCAGATCTTTTGCATCGGGTAGATAAGAAAATGTGAGGTAGAACAGACTGCGATAAACTGAGTGCTTTGCCGCTACACAAAAAGCCCGTAAACAATGCGGCCTTTGTCCACTGCCTAAGCTCAGTTTACACCACCTAAAACTTGAAGGTTCAGCAGTTCGCAAATTTGGATTAAACACAACTCTCATTGGTACACGATGGTACAGCTATTAGGAATGTGTGTCACACGCGTCATTGCCTTTATTTACCAGTAAGGTAATGGTCCAGTTCAAGTACGGTATTTATAAAAACTATAACAAGCCTTGCTTTTATCACATTACTTTTAATCAAGGATAAAGCAGTAAAAGGTATTTGCTTTCGTTTTTTAAATATGATTTTTATAATTCATATGAACCAAGTGACGCCCTTGAAGCATTTTCGATCTAGTAATCATGATCGTCAAACAGCGCGTAATATGTAGGAAGAAAATAAACAGAAATGTAAAATCGCTGAAGTACGCAGCCAGATGCTAGAAAAACACATAAACTCATGGGATAAATACGTATGGATGTGTGTTATTGCAGTGCACTCAGGGAGGATATAGTATGCTTAAATCTCAGTACTGTGTTTTGTTATGTACAAGGCGATATCGGAATGATTTTTAGTACTAGAAACGAGACATATTGCAATAATTTATCTAACGTTTAATGCGTGAAAAATTTGTATTCCACATATTTGCACTGGATGCAAAAATATTGTTTATCATTTACCTTAGTGAGCGACTAAAATTTAACCCAACAAACACTAATCGCAGCTACCTATGTCCCGAACGGATGTTTCTTCTCTTACTGGTTTTAAGCTCAATATATTTTTCGTTGGTACACAACTTCAATACTGACCACTTTTATATATATAACAAAAATTGCGTATAACTACATGTAAATAATAAAACGCGTCAAGATTTAAAGAAAACAATTCGTATGATTGACACAATGAAGGCAACAACTGAAGAGTGATGACATAAATGTTGCTGGACCTAAGTGAATATCAACTCGCAACCTAACACTGGTAATGTACACGCGCAATGTATGTTAGTTGCCCTAGTTTTAATTCGTAGTGACTGCCTCCACATTAAATGCGTGTTCGGAATATGGCATACTAAAGCGTGACACTAAATAGTAACGTACATGTTTTCATTGCTCAAAGATACATATTTCTGTGCATTTTATTGTGAATTTGAGAACAGTATAACAAATTTCATGGACTAAGTTTTATGTTGTGGCTTCGTGCGCTTGCTCATGCAAAACGGTTCCTCGAACTTTCATATGTAGGACTAGATAATTCTAGTCTTAGACGGTGCACGAAATTAAGTGCGGATATCAGAAGACGATTGGAGTCGGACACAGTGACCTGTACCCCATGGGATACAAGAAGACGCGGATGGAAAAAGCGAGACAGGTGCGAAAGCGTGAGCGCGGGAACTTACAAAGCGGTCAAGTGTCAAGCCGGTTGTAAGGAAGGTTAAAACAAGCAGGAATAATGTACAATCCGTCAAAAATTAAACTGTACATGAAAGATAGCGGTTGTTTTTGGGCGACACACAAACTGTTTGTTATCACCTGAAAAGTTAATCATTCCAAAATTAAACAGATAACTAACACAGTAACAAAAGCTTCTCCTTAAAACAATTTGGTGAGGACGTGCATGCGTATGGAAGCTGAAATTTCGGCAATCGCTATGCAAATATTCATTTTTCCACCGGTACGCTGGTAGTGTATAACACTCCTTTTGGCACATATCAAACGCCAATCTTCCTGTTTAGAAGTGCTTTTAATCCACCGAAAACAGAAAGAAAAGCAAATATTGTAATGTGTATACGAGTCACACTAGATTTTATAATACCTTTCTAATGCCACAGACCTAAACCTATGTCTACTATTTAATGAAATCGTACTTTGTTGGATGCGTCTCGGATACTAGTCGGTAGCAGTGACACGTAAGAAACGTGCTATATACGGAACAGCAGATAAATGGCGCTAGAAACAAGGTATGTTTTACCGTCCAAAAGGAATGGGACGCGAGTCAGCAATGGGGAAGGACGTACAGCGTAGAACTTACGTGAACAAAAGTAAAAGTGGATGTACAAAGTAAAACAAGATATTAAGAAAGTGCACACAACGAAAGAATCCAGTTGCGAAAAATGGAAGATGTATATGTTTAGGTGTACTAGGTGACACTCCTTTTAAAAGGCTGAGAAACGGAAACCATTGGTAGGGATATCAAGAGAAATGGATAGCGATTTTGTTGCAAGGATTGATATTCGACTGAACACGGAATTCAAAAATGGGGTGTTTGGCTATGGTTGCGTTGTCTAGCCTTCTGCAGCGTAGCTTCATTCCTGCCCTGTCGACAAGCCCGTGTCCAACCAAGCGGCCAATCCCAGTTCATCGGCTTCCGTTTGGAGCCCTCGATCTTCGTTCAGATTGGCAAGTCTCAACATTCACACATTACTTCAGATCGGTCAGCAGGCAGCACTTACCCGAACAGTAGCGATCCTCTCGATCGATATCTGCTGCTCATCGCAGACCTGCCTGCAAGACTCGAGCTCTGTGCTCAAGTTGCGCTCCCCTTCAGGTGACACCAGCAGCACTTTCTCATGACACCTATCCGGTGTCGATGCGGCTTCGAGCACCGGCCAAGCCGGTGTTGGTATTGCCCTGACTCCACGATCTGAAGCTGCTAAGGTTGACTGGATTCCAAGCAGTCGCCGGTTGTGTGCAGTCCTATTGGCTGGCTCGTTCAAACCTAGGAAATCGCGCGTGACTAACAGGTGTCTATTCGTTATTGCTGGCTATGCACCCACAAACTGTAGCGATGGTTCTGTACAAAATGACTTCTATCGTCAGTTGAACGAGCTCCTTCTACACAGAAAAAGCTCGGACACTGTTGTGTTGGCTGGGGATCTGAACGCTCAAGTTGGAAAATTATTCGCTGATGAACTACATCTAGGTGGCCAACATGATGTAGGCTCCCGTAATGATAACGGTGAGCAGTTACTTCATTTGTATGACGATGCTCGCTTATTTCTTGCGAGCACTAATTTCCGACACAGCACCCGCCGGAGGGTGACTTGGGGCCCACCACCCTCGAACCAGCTATGGACGCGAATCGATCACATTGCGATAAGTTACCGATGGTCGCTCGATTTGGAGCACATGTGTGGACACCGAACATGCACTTGCATGTGCTGACCTGCGGATATGTTTTGGCGGACGCCCACGACGACGTTGTGAGCGCATTGACACCATCCAACTAGCGAGACCATCCGTGCTGAATGCCTATCAAATTAAACTGTCATGGGAGTTGTGTAAAGGCCCACTGCATGCAATTAAAGCGCACTAGTCACAAATTTACCAGACCTGACTAGCAGCAGAAAATCCTCATGTGGTAAGTCTAATCGCCAACGTGGACATTGGGTCTCTTCGCAGTCTCTGGAACTTATCAATACTCGCCGGCATATTCCGGCTGGAAGCGAACACAATGAAACTCGAAAAGAGCTCCGAACAAAACTCCGTGTTAGCCTGATGAGAGACCGCGAATTCTGGTGGTCTCATCATGCATTAGATATGAGAATGTCCGCTGCCCTTGATAACAATCGTGGTATTCCGGCTGCTACGGGAAATGGGCAGCAGGAGACTTGGTGTTGGTGAAAATATACGTGACAAAAGTAGATAGCTAATCCACAACTTGTCAAAACGCTTGGAGCGTTGGGCTGAGCACTTTGAAGGACAATTAAATCGGTCGGAATTTGTAGTTTTCTCTCCAGCCATTGTTCGCCCCTCTGCCTGGTCTGTCCCTTTGGATCCTCCCTCTCGCTCAGAAGTCAAACGTGAGGTCTCACTGTTAAAGTTAAAGAAAGCCGCGGGACCAGATGATCTACCTTCAACCCTCTTCCAGGTAAGGGAACCTGCTCTTGTGGATGATTTATATGGGTTACTAGTGAAACTGCGGGAGCAGTAACCTGTCCCAACCGACTGGAGGCGTTTAGAGGGTTGCCTATTCCGGGAGCCCAGAGAGCGATTCCAGAAGACAGATCGAGTTGCAGGGAAACTTTTATTGGTTCAGCAAAAGATTCCCTGTTAGCTAGCTATAAACGAACGACACCGTGGACGCTCTACCTAGGGGAACGGATCAAGCACAGCACACAGAGCAGTCGCGCGTTGCAACCGAAGCGAGCGCCAAGCAAAAATGGCGATGAGCAAGTAAAGCATTCGAACTCAGTAATCAGTTCAACAAACCACACCGGTTGCCTAAGTGTACAATTATAGAATTTTGGTTAGAATTTTACACAAGCAAACCGGGGAATCTCCAGACTGCTACATAGCCCTCTCCCAGAAGGGACTGTGTAAGCAGTCCTTCGATCTACCTGAGGACTGTCCGTCGCCGGCCAGCCTTCTGCGAGACCAGGTTGTGAAACCCGATGCAGCTGCTGGGGGAGAACCATGCAATCGGACCCTAGCGGGCTCCCACCCGTGTCCTCCCTACGGTTTCGAAATGGTAAAAAACTGTTTGTGGGGGGGACAGTTAATAAAGTTCACGTAGGCAGTTGAGCAGGAAGTTCGTTCCACTTGCAGTTGACGTGCGGGGATCCAGCGGAAAGAGAAACCGAGGTGTGTAGCGATTGTAAATAATTTGCTTATTTTGCATTTTCACGTTTACCTATTTCGCTGCAGTTGTTGTACAGCTTTGTTTTAATTAACATTTTATACACACACTTGGTTACGAGCTCGCCTTCCGTGGTTCTTCCTTGGTTGCCGCTGGATTGTTGTGATTGTGCGCATCGCTGCCTGCTTGGTTCACGATCGGACTCTACATACACGTACATTTCGGCATACCTCGGGATTTACGGCCGTCCGACGCTAAGGTGCATCAGGATACTTTATATGTGAGGTAAACCTGACTGACTTGGTATTCTCTTTATCGGTTCCTCCATAGGTGCAACGAACCGACGGTGTGTATGGAAAGCAAAATGAAAAAGCAGCATAAATGCATAGCAATACACAAAAGAGTGCAAAGCGAAAAACGTGCAAAGCTGTTTTTGGGTTTTCAAGAGATTTTTCTCTTTTTTGGTAATTTCAAAACGTTTTGGTCTTTTTTTGGATTTTCAAAAATGTTTGGTAGGAGCAGAAAATTTCGAAGGCACGTTCTACTTAAAAAAGTAAGTGCGAACGGAGTCCGAAAAGCGAACCTTAGGTTTGAGCTTCCTACCGCGTTGATTGAGAGTAGGGCGGGTAGGAGTGCTGTCGGTTGTGGTTGTCGGTTCTGCTGGAGCGGACTGATTCGTCTGAGGTTGCGGTGCCAGCTGTGATGGCACAGGCTGTGAAGGTGCTTGTTGCACCGGCGAGTCAGACTTGTCGAAGAATGCTAGCTTGAGTCGATCAATGGTGATCGTCTCAGTGGTGTTGCGTCTTGGCTTGCTTACGTCGGGATCAGCTTGTTGGGCAGCAGCCATGGCGGCTAGATCAATGTTTGTGCCAGGCGATAAGCTGATCTGCTGAATGCGTGAAAGCGCATCCGCGACGGGATTGAGAGCACCTGAGACATGACGTACGTCTGTCGTAAACTGAGAAACGTAGTCTAGGTGTCTAGTTTCCCGCGGCGAGTACTTGTCTGTTGCGCCATTGATTGCGTAGATCAATGGCTTGTGGTCGGTGAAGACGGTGAAATGTCGACCTTCGAGGTAGTGACGGAAATGTCGGATACCTAGGTAGATAGCTAACAGTTCCCTACCGAAGGTGCTGTATCGCGATTCGGCAGGTTGTAAGCGCTTTGAGAAGAAACCTAGAGGTATCCATCGATGGTCGACGAGTTGCTGAAG